AAAAAAAAAAAAAGAATTGATGCATAAATCTGATTATACTAGGGTTTTTTTTTTTCTTTCAATGATCTGCATTTTATTTGTGTTTGTGAACAATGACCAAGCTTATGAATTGATTTTATGTGTTCCTTTACCTATATTGATCAGCTAAACGGAAGGGAAAGAAGAAAAGGGATTCTCCTAAAGATTTGGCTAGGGAATCTCGGATCCCACCAGCAGTTTTGTTCCTTCAATGCTATATATGTCTTGCAGAAGGACTTACAATGGTACCGGTGATTGTTTTATTTGTAAATTGCTATGTTTTATCCGGATTGTGAGTGGAAACAGTCTTCTAATCTAAGCCTTTGTTTCATTATTTTCATTTTGGTCTAAACTGTAGATTTCTGAGAAGAAGTTGATTGAATTTAAAATTGTCTTCTATATGTATATATATAACCAGCATATGCTGCTCATCTCTCATTTCAGTGTTTTGCTTCAATATTATCAACTCATGCTCTCTATTAATCTGTTCAGTCTCTTTACAGATGCTTGCTGCTTTGAGGAATGAAATCATGGTCTTGCAGAGTCCAAGCCCCTTTAATACTGAGCAGGAGGTGAAGTATCAAGTTTCCTCCTTACACCCACACACACGCATATGTAAATAGTTTACAAGGTGTTGCCATGGTGGCATTACCTAATATTTCAGTTTTCGACTGATGAATAATTTCAGTTCTTTTTCCTGTGTAAGTGCGTATATTTGACTAGAAGACTTCAAATTGGAAGTTCACCTTAATACCTTGAGAATGTGTTCAATTGTACTCGTTGAGCTATTTTATTAACTGCATCATCTTATGTTCTCACCCATGTTAACTTCTATCCAGAAATTTGTTCAGCATTTCGAGCTTTTACAAAGAGCCTGCATTCCTGATCATGTTTCATACCCATCATTCAAGGAATCAACAACTCAAGCTCGCTTTTCTGTGAGTATTTGCTAAGATCTCCACCCCTGGGTTCTCTTTTTCCTTATTTGTTTTACTCTTTTTGGTTTCTTTTTACATGTATGGATTTCCAATCTTCTCTCACTCGAAACATAACTGAGTTACTTTCTATCCAGACACTAGTTATGTATAATTACTTCAAGGATGCTCAGAGGATAGCTAAGGAGGTCAAGAGTAGTTTTTCCAATGATCCAGACAGATTGGCTGAACTCCGAAGACTAGAGCAAGTTGCAGAGCACAACAGTGTTGCCCTAAATCTGATTTGTCGGGTAGGAGCTCTTGACCCATCACTGAAGGTTTCTTTTGAGTTCAGCCATCATCCATTTTTCGCCACTGCCATTGTCAGGAGATCTTGAAGGTTTCTTTTGATGATCTCTACCAATTTTGAAGCACATATACAGGTTTAAGAAGCTTTTGAGTCTTGTGTAGCAATTGTAATATTAGCATGTTTTTAATCAATTTTCTTAATTATTTATAATATATGAATATTGTAATTGGAAAATAATAGCATGAAAATAAATACATTCTTTATGTTAATTTTCATATTCTCCTGCGCCCGCCCCTCCCCCCCCTTGGACCCAGCTTTCTATTTTTGTCTTTCTAAAGGAGTAAGATGTATCACGAAATAAAATGAGGATTGTGCGGTGCACTGCAAGGTAGATACATGCATGTTGGCATGCTAAAAGGGCCATACTTAGTATCATGCATAGGGCAAATCTCACAACTAAATCCGAATGGGATTTGATCGTTGTAATGCTTTAAAATAAAGATAAAAAATTTGGGTATTGTCAACTCAAACCAACATTTTATTTGTTTTCTGTTTTCTGATGACTGAATCTGCCAAATTTAGAGCTAATGGTTTCTTCCATGCAACGCCATTGACTTCCTGTAGCTTAATGTCAAAGATGGCTTCCCTACTCTTTGGTTTGTCTTGCTGTTCATTTTGTTTTCGCTTCCGAAATACTTGCTATTCATCTTTCTGGTAAACACAATGCATCAGAAAGGTTGCATGATTGAAGTACCTATTGACCAAACAGGCAATAATTTGACAGAGAAAGTTAGTTCATATATATATATATATATATATATATATTGCTGGATGATCAGGATTCCTAATAATAATATTATACTGTTCTCGGCAGATTGCTATTTCATTGCTCCTTTGGTACAAAAATACAGGGGATTTATGACAGTTGACAGACCACTGGAATAAAAAACACACTTGGAAAGCTAGTCTGCATAACTGCCCCCTGCTAGACTGTCTACGCCTAGATATATAGTGGACCGCAGTTGTCCTTAGATTATTAATTCTTTAATAAATTATTGATATTGAACTAAATATTAATTCAGATGTTTGTTAATTCATTTGTAAGCTTGCGAATATATTATTAATCCTTGATTTAGTAATTTTCATGTGTACAAATCTTGTACGTCCTGAAAAGGTAATCGGACGGTTTAGAAAATTTAGAAACATGTTTTCAAAAAGTGGATTAAATAAAAATCACAAAGAACAAATCAGTAAAAAAGGGTAGAGCTTTGGTGGAGCCCACCCACCAGCACCTCTTGTAACAGGGTACAGAAAGAAGTGAAAGGTCGAACTAAAACTTGGACCCAGGTTGTTGGTGGGGTCTACCTTTTATTTTTTATCTTTAGAATCATGACAGTTTTCTAAAAGACAAATCTTGCCCTTCAACACTGCCCATTTGACAGATCCTTTTCCAGTTTATTCCTTTGTTTTCTTCTAGTTTTGAAAGTGGAGGGTGCGATCGTCTTTTTCCATCATAGTTTTGTCCAAACATTTCACGTGATTTCCACGTGGAACCTACTTGGTTGTATAGACGAAAAATACCCTTGGATCTCTTGCTTATTGCCGGCTCGCGCCAATTAATAATTACTCCGATATATTATTATTTTTAAATAATATTAACTCTTTAAAATGTAAAATACTTTTTCTTGATTATCTTTCATTGAAATATTAATTTTTATTTTATTTCAAGGGAAACAAAATGCCTAATTTTTAAATTTTTACATCATTTGAAGAATGAATATTCAATTTCAAATGGAAAGAGTAATTCAATTTTCTCACTTATAGTGAATTTTAATATTAGTTTTTCAAATATTTTCATATCATATTTTGGAAAAAAAACATATATATATATATATATATATATTTCATTTCACCCTTTCCTCAAAGAAATATTGCTTTAACTACAAGTAGGTTGCAATTGAAGCATGTTTTAATGAAAATCTTATATAAAAAAATCAAGATCTTTTAAATATAAAACTTGTTCTTTACAATGGGAAAACTTTAATCAAACAGTTTCATTATGGATTGGATGAATTGTCCAAATCAAGCATTTTCAAGGCTTTTTTACTAAACTCCAATTCTTTTTTTCCTTTTTGTGAGGATGTAATTGTCGTTTTAGTATCCACAAATGGTTAAATTGACATATTTGCTAGGTTTGTTAGGCAACTTTAGAGGGTAATTTATTGTTGAAGAAATGTGTTTTGCATTTTAATAAATGATTTTTTCATGATTTTATATTTTGATTAATTGTGACAATATGAGTTGTCACTTTACGATTGCGATGAATTTAATATGTGCTCGAAGTCTAGTTAAGGTAAATAATCAAAAGACATAAGATTATACTATCTCCTTATGTTTATTAAAGTAATACTCAGTTAATTACCTCAAAAAAGAATATCTAATTATTAAAATATTTAATAAGTGATTTTACATTTTTTATTTTTTAAAATTAAATTAAAATATGCAAAAAACCTCTTGCTCCAAAATCTAATTGAACACACAAAGTCTTAATAAATTTTCTTTTTCTCGATTTCTCTTTGTAAATATCACTTTTGGTAATTTTAAAATTTTAATTTTTATTTCCATGCTTTATATATTTAAACAAGAACATTAAACTCTAAATTAAAGGAAGTTCTTTAAATTTCAAAGAAATAAATTGAAAAAGAAAGAAAAAAGCCCCTCATTTTAGGCAAAAAAGGTTAAAATGAAAGACAAACATCATTAGCTTCAAAGGTTGAAAGTTAAAATTTTGATCTTTGATTTTAAAAAGGTACATAACTAGAGACTATAGTGGGCCCAAGGCATCTTCTTCTAAGCTGATGCCAACCTTAAAATGTTGCTGAAAATTGTAAGGTCAGTTTTGTAAATAATGCAAAAGAGCAAGGGTATAATTACACTAAAGAAAATTCAAAAGTGGAGTCTTTCACCTAGCTGGCAGCATTAGGTGTTCTTGTTTCTAAGCGACTTCTCGCTCTAAAACGACAACTACGGTTCACCACAACTTTCTTTGGTCTTAAAAACCCGCTTCCTGTTTTTGGAACCCAATTTAGAAAAATCAAATCGAAAGGATAAATAATCCACTACATTCCAGTTACTTTGTAACTTGTATCCTTACACTCATCATCCTTCACATGATCCACCATCCAAACAAAGATTCTCAAAATAATTTTTGATTATTTTTAAGTATGATATCTATAATTTTTGTGGAAAATCAAATTAATCTTTTCATAATGTGTTTAAATAAAGATATTGTGTTTTTCCAAAAACTTGCACCTTAGTTTAACTCAAATAATAAGAAAGGAAATAATCTAAGTTTGAATTATAAATCCAATTCAAAGTCATAATAAAATTCAAAACTAATAATAATTTTGCAATTATCTATAAGCTATCTATTATATATATAAAAGCATGTGTCACAGATCGGAATTTAAGTTTAAATGTGTGTAATTTTAAATTTTAAAAATAAAATTTAAATAAGTATATAAATTAAGAACATACTTTCTCAATTCAAAAGATATACTTAATAAGTGGTAAAAAATTCATATTTATATACCCAAAATCTATTTGATGTTTTATATTTATAATATTTTACTCCTTTCAATTGTGCAACACCTTCATTGCGTTGGTTCTTTACTCGTAAAAGGGATAAACTCTTATACTAGTTCAGATCTACCTTGACTCTTGTGTATCTTATATCTCTTAGATTCATAACATTATATCTTACTCAATTATGCAACACTTTCGTTGCATTGGTTTTTTACCCGTAGAAGAGATTGACTTATTTACTAGTTTGGATCTATCTTGACTCTTATATATCTTATACCTATTTGATTTGTAACATCCTATTCTATCAAATTGTGCAAGTTGCACGGAGAGGACTCTTACACTAATTTGAACCTACCTCGACTTTTGTATATCTTATGAAGATTCCACATCAGTGAAAATTCAAGTCCGTGTGTAATTTTAAATTCTAAAAATAGAGTTTAAGTAAGTCTATGTATTATGAGTTCACATTCCTAAACCACAAAAACATGCTTGATAAGTAGTAGAAGGTTTATGTTTATATACCTAATATTCACCCCATTTCTTATTGATGTAAAATTTATGACACTATAAATAGTTAAAAAAAATTTATTTATTATATATTTAAATTTTTATTTAAAATAATTTTTATTAGTTATAATTATAAATTAATGATAATAAGATTTATCCAGTATATAGATAAGAATTCTAATTCTATTTAATAACATTTTTTATTATAATATGATTTACTTGATTTAGAATTCTCTATTCATTATATTTCTTAATTTTAGCTTATTAAGTTAAATAAATTCAAAATTAATTTTGAATATAATAAACAAATTTAACTACGATAATAAAAAATAAAATTTTAAATTTATTATCACTTCTACGTTTTGTTTATCATATTTTTAAATTATTATTTAGAATAATACTTATTAATTATAATTTTTAATTAAAATTATAATAATAAGATTTATTTATTATATAAATAAGAATTTTAATTTTATTGAAGCACAATTTATTATGAAAGTTTTGTTTTATAATTAAAAGAGAAGGATTCGAATCTGTTTTTCAAATATTCAAGTGCAATTTATTATTTATTAAGAAAGATTTACTTGGCTTTGACTTCCTTGTTACTTATATTACTAAATTTTAGTCATATCAAAATAAGAAAATTAATTTCAAATATAATAAAAAAGTAATTTAACTAAGACAATTAAAATTAATTAATTATATTTATTATTACTGCTATATTCAAAATAATTTTTTTTTTAATTTTATAGTCAAAATTTTAAAAAATAAAAAATAAATAGCATGTTAAATGACATACAATCCAAATGACGAAAAAACTAGTAACACAAAACAATAAATAGGGAACAGGGCAAGCACGTCAGAATGGGAACGAACGCAGAGTAACAAAACCCCCACATTATTTTACTCACCACTTCGACAGTACAAGTCTTACAATGCCGTATTCTGACACAAAGAAGAGAGAGCAGATATAGAGGAAAAAATAAAAAATAAAAAAAATGTAAAATAGATTTAAATATATGCAATTTACACCAAATATAATAAAATAATAATAATAAATAAATAATAAAAATGAATATCGACGCCGACGACCCAACAAAACGAACCAGAACTCAAATGCTCATTATTTATTCGACTTTTCTTTGCTCTCTCTAGAAGACCAGAACTCCACCGACC